ACACACACACACACACACACACACACACACACACACACACATGACGACGACGACGATGACCAAGAAGAGGAAGAAGAAGAAGAAGAAGAAGAAGAAGAAGAAGAAGAAGAAAAGGATGACTTACCTTGCGGGCTCCGGGAAGGCGATGGCGGGCTGCGGAAGGGCACGGCGGCAGGGCACGATGGCACGGAACAGCGGGGCCGACGAGCGAGTCGAAGCACACTTCGCCCGCTCGATTTCGCGGGGGCATTCGGAATCTGCCCGCACGCGAAATCGCGCGGGGAATGAGTTTGAAATTGGGCGATTTCTGGCTGTCGATCTTCAAGATCGACGGCCAGAAATTGCCTGATTTCTAACTGCTCCCAGCACCCGGTACGTACCCGAATGTTTTTTTTTTTGGCGGCGCAGGGTTCCACGAGCCAGCTTCAACCCCCCAAAGCCCGAAATCGAAAAATAAAAAAATGTTGCGGGTCAGCGCATTTCAGGTCCGGGGGCCCGACCGGGCGTTCCGACCGGCCGGTCGCCCGGTCGTCAAACCGGGCGTGGCATCGGGACCCGGGCGCCCGGGATTTCGCCCTAGTTCTTGAGAGCATAATTGCCAAATTACACTTCAGAGTTTTGAACATGGATTGGTGAAATGTTATTTGTGCAGGTGGTGGCATTCGTCTTACAAGCCTTTTTGACGCAGATGAAGCATGAGGAGGCAGAGAGGAGGACTCGCAAGGAGGTAATCCCCCTTCCTCCTCATCTGACAATTCGATTGTATGGTCGAAAAATTATCATCCCCTTCATCCACAAGTATGAGATCATTATGTGTTGTGAGTGTTAGAGTCAGGTGATGCAGCTAATCACATGTTTAGTCAATCGTAGAATGCAGCAAGGGGAATGTGGAAGGAGGTGCAGGGATGGCCGAGGAAGCACGCTCAGTGTGAGAATGGCACAGCCCCAAAAAACTGGCAAAAAATTGCCATTTTGAGAGGCCCAGTAGCTGGTAGGCTAGGTCTAGGCGGGTACCAGTCCAAGTAGCCTGGGTCTAGGGCCTGTGCGGGCAATATTAGAGCCTGCAATGATGTTTCCCTCCAAAAGGGAGGAGGTACCGGTTGCTTGGAGGCTGCGAGGCCTGGAAGTCACCGCCCAAGAGGCATAGGCCACTATATCTTCGGGTAGAGCGTTGGGCTCTACCTCATTTGCGGTATGCAAGGTTGGGCGTCATGCTGCTTGAGCGGGCGCTAGCATTCAGAGCGCCGCTGGAAGGAAGAGCTCTGGGCAGACCAGCGCTGGGAGGAGGAAGACGGCTGGGAGCTTCCACCTCAGCTATGGTGGAGCTCTACCGGTAGGAGGAGGAGGAGGAAGAAGGGGATTAGGGAGGAGAGTGGCGAGGTACCTACCTGGCTATGGTGGACGCCATCTTCACGACCTTGTTAGGCGCTGCATCTGGAAGGCCCCAGTGGGGGTTGCGCCGCACCAAGAAGGCTTCAAGGCAGAGTCAGGCATGGCGGCCTGAACAGCAGCGGACATAGCTGCTTTCCGTTGTCTTTTGCACAGCAGTGCCAGGCCCTTAGCAGTATGCCATAGCCTCGGCCTGATTGACGAGGAAGAAGGAGGCCATGGCCATGGTGGACCTCTAGTTATGCCAAGCAGTAGAAGTGGGATTCATACTTTGATTCTGGTTCAGCCATTCATCATTATTATTATTATTTGATGTTTGAATAAGAGTGGAGGCGGCAAGGAGGTGTTGATTGGCGAGAGGAGGGATTATCATTGGTCTTTTGGTGGTGTACATCTTTTTCTTCTTCTTCTTCTTCTTCTTCTTCTTTTTTGAAACAGTTTTCACCTTTGGCAGTAGCCGATGCAGATCCCAGGGGTCGATCCCTTGACCTCAGCTTACCTGTGTACAGTATCTGCACAGTTCCCTGGAGTTGAACCCGTGACCTGCACGATAGCC